ACACGTTAAGATCACCCCAAAAGCGATATAAAATCATTAAAGTTTTTAAATTGCTGTTTGTTCTGTTTTCTCATTCACGCATATTATGTTATTTAGAACTATAATTAATGTCAATGATGTATCATTCTAACATTGATGGAGATTTTAGCCCAATACGAATCCTTTTAAAATCTCTTTTTTTCCTAGTCATTAGCGCTCTTGATAGAGTGGTCGCGGTCATCACTTCAGGCGTTGGTGGCAAGCTCCACAACACGCTGCCACTCCTCTCTGACGGTCACCCTCCTCGTTTGGATAATAATGACAAGGTATTTATTGCCACTTTTATCTGGTCAGTCCACCTCATAGGCGATCTTCCTTTAAAACGTCTTAACTATTTTTAATTATTAGAAAACTCGAAAAAAATGTATAAAATATTTTATAAAGAAATAATCGGGTTTCTTGATGGTAGAACCAAACTTTTATCTCGTTACTAAAGTCTTCTTCTAAATAATAAGAACATCAACTATATCTTTCGTTCTAGTGATACTAATCTAATACTAAAGAAATACTAATAATAAGGTCTTCTAATGACCATTCGGCATTGCTGACATTCGAAAGACGTCTTAATACATATTATGATGTCGGTAGAAGAATAATTTCTGAATTATCCATTTAGGACTTAATAATTCAGGCTCTTAAAAATGTAGGAAAATTACTGAGTATCTAAATTACTGAGGGTTGATTAGTAATTTAGATAGATCAGTAATTTAGTTAACTAACTAAGCATTGCGCATAACAAATTATTTTAACGGATAAACTAAAACGATCATAATGTCTGTAATCAATTTGTAGCAAGCATTTTGATCTACATTTGTGGAATTATTTTGATTTGTAACCCATAATAATGGTTCACGATAGTAAAACTAGTATAATTGTAGAGTCATATCGCAAAGGCATCCTTATCTATATAATAATACGTGAAGCAAAAACTTTGTATCCCGTTTTACGAAAATTGCGCGGACGGAAGAGTATGAAATTTTCCACACTTATAGAGAATATAGAGAAGAAGTGCACAATGCTAATATTTTTTTCAAATAATGCGTAAAATATACATTAAATCAATAAAGAAAACATTACACACACTACATACCATGTATTTGACGCACACACGCATGCATACTATTTATTGTCAAACTTTTGTTCTTGACGTCTGTGGTCAAATTGAAAATAGATTAAATATTGTTTGTCTTTATTAATATTTTTTTAGAGTGCAGCCTTGGCGTAATTTGTGATTTTATAGAAGTATAAAATACAATCATAATAATGTACAAACTTATTATACAATTCCAATTAATTATAGTCGAATTTCGACTACTGCGGGACCTCTAGTAATGTTTTAATTCGCTCTGCGTTGTCTTGTCTTTCTGTGTGACAAGTTGCGAGCAACCATAGACATTCGCCCTTGCAATCCACGATCCACAAGTGAATAAATAAATAAATTAACTATCATATGACAATATTATAAATGTGGGGGTCAATCAATATTTGTTACACTGTCTACGCAAAAAAATACTGGACGGAATTTGATGACTACTCACAATGTAATGCCATCAGAATAGCATTAAAGCTATGATTATAGTGCGATCAATTTAAAAAAGTAGCGCGCGAGTAGTTTCAAGTAAATTGTTTTTTACACAATTAGCGATAATCATATACGCGGAGCCTGGATAGTTTACAGTAGTTTTAAATAATCGAGAATAGAATGCATAATCTATGTTTATATTTTATATATTAACATACCATGTTCGGCTCTCGAATCAATGAACTTTTATCTACTTCCAGCGGCTACGTTGAGAGGGTTCTCATGTCGTGCCGCCTTCTCAAAATGGCGCAGCGATGCCGACTGCAGATACTAACTAAATCGAGCTCCAGGTCATCGTGGAGATCCACGTTCCTAAGGAACCAAGGCGCTCCGACGGCTATCCTGCAGAATCGGGATTGAATGACCTGAAGGGATTTCAAGTGAGTGCGGGCTACGTGAGCGAACACTACGCTTGCATACGTCATGACGGGGCGTATACAAGTTTTGTAGAGAGTTACCTTATTGCGGAAGGACAGTTTGCTTCGACTACAAAGCATTGGATAGAGTCGTCCTAGAATAAACGCGGCGCGGTCACGTACCGTTTTTATATGGGGACGGAATGTCATCCCTCTGTCGAGGGTGACGCCTAGATATTTGACCTTCGAGGCCCACGGTATGGGCTGGCCAAAGAGAGTGATGGGGCTAACGGCGGAGGTGTTTGCGCGCCTACTACGGAGTGGGATGCTCGAAGTGATGTTCGGAGGGCGACCCCTTTTGAAGAGCACCGCTGTGCTTTTCGTGGGGTTGATGTCAATTCGCCACTTCCGGAACCACTGTCCCGTGGTGGCTACTGCGATCTGGAGTCGCCGATGAAGCAGCGACATCTTCCTACACGAGTAGTAGATAGCCGTGTCATCGGCGAAGAGCGCTAGATGGGTCTCCGGAGACCGGGGTATATCATTGATATACAAACTAAATAATAACGGGGAGAGCGCGGAGCCTTGCGGGGACTCCGGCAGTCAGTTGATGGGGACGAGAACGAGTTCCCTCTACTCGATATCGAAACGAACGGTTCGACAAGAAGTGGTCTCCATTGGCTGCAATACAGTCCTTTAAACGTTGAGGCCAGTTATCAATAGAAGCACGCACTCTTTCCATGGGAAAATTTTTCACTGCCAATCGTACAGATTGTTTTAGGGACTCCAAATTATCATGGCATTTAGAGCAAGCCGTACTCTCTAAAACTGACTATAAATCATAATCCAGCGGATTAAAATCGGGACTAGACGACGGCCAGTCTTCAGCTCTGATGAAGTCCGAAACGTTCGTTTCCAACCAAGACTGCGTAGACCGAGCTTTCTGACCTGGCGCCGAGTCTTGCTGGAAGGACCATTCTTGATTATTGAACATGGTGTTGTTAAGGGGCTTCACTACCTTCTCAATAATGGTATCTTGATACACTTGTGCCGATGTTTTGATACCTTTTTCACAAAAGTATGGCCCAGTCACTCCTTCATAGCTAATACCCCACCAAACCATCACTGAAGTCGAATAGTGCCCACGTTGCACTCTGTCGACTAATTGGGAAGCTTCCTTAGAGCTTTGAACATAAATACGGTCATTTTGTTTGTTAAAATGTTGCTCAATTGTAAAAATTTTCTCATCCGTAAACAAATTTTTTCTATGACTTTTTTGCGTACCGCTTCAGTAGTTGTTTCGATTTTACCACCCTATTCTCTTTTAAATTATCAGTTAATAAATGACCAGTACGTCTCTTATAGGCTGCAAGTCCTAAGTCATCTTTTAAAATACGCGACATGGTTCTAGGTGCTATCTTCATCTCCCGAGATAGAAGCTTTTGCTTTCGGACAGAATTTCTTCGAATTCTTTCCCTTACTGCTTTGACCACCTTTTTCGTACGAACACTACGTGGACGGCCAGATCTTTTTCTGTCACAAACAGAGGAGGTCTCATTGCACCTATTAATGGCCCGGTACACAAACATTTTACTAATACCAAGCGTATGGAGAGTTTTAAAAATTGCATTTGGCTCCATACCTACTTTGTGTAATGCAATCATAGCGTTTCGGTTCTCTTTATCACCCCACTCCATTTTAATATCGCAAAAGATTGTACAATGTATTGGCGCCAAAATGAGAAAACTCAATGAGCAATCATATAAAAATGACAGATTCCAAATTCAAATGTAATATTTTGTTTATTTTTAATTGTAACAGTATTTATGGCCAGACTAAGTATACATCTATACATATAAATAAAATTAGAGTATCTGTTTGTAATATTGAAATGACCGCTTTTTACTACATGCATATGAATATATATACGGTACACACCAAAATATCATTTTGTACAATTTTTGTCTGTCTGTCTTTCTGTATGTCTGTCTGCTTGTTCCAGCTAATCTCTGGAACGGCTGGACCGATTTTGATGAGACTTTCACTAATAGGTAGCTGATGATATAACGAGTAACTTAGGCTACTTTTTTTAGACTAGCTTTACCCCACGGCATCACCCGTGGTACGACAATAACCGCGGGTAGCATCGCGAGACTCAGCTAGCAATAATAAAATTTAATGTTTCCGAAGCGAAGCGATATAAATATAATAATATGTTGCGTTGTAATAGGTCTCGCGGTGTATTAGGTCTCGCGTTGTATGAGGTCCCGCGTTTTAGTAGGTCTTGCGTTGTATGAGGCATCGCGTAATATGAGGCTCGCGTTTTATAGGGTCTCGCGTAGTACGATGTCGCATGTTGTAGTAGGTCTCGCGTTGTATGAGGTCCTACGTTGTAGTAAGACTCGTGTCGTATAAGGTCCCGCGGGACTCAGCTATCGATAATAAAATTTAATGCTTCCGAAGCGAAGCGAGGGCGTGTCGCTAGTTATTAATATATCTATGCAGTTTTCGCCAAAACAAGTGATTACTTTAATTATCCGTAAGAACGAAACGTAAAGTCGAAGACGACTCAACAATTAACATCCAATTAGAAAAAAAAACTCCATAAAACTTGAAATACGTAAATGTAAGACTTTTCACGGTCACCGTACTCGTCGAACCCGTCGCTTGCGACGAAGGGCTCGACGAGCGAATTAACCCATAGACACATTCCACTGAGTTTCTCGCCGGATCTTCTCAGTGGGTCGCGTTTCCGATCCGGTGGTAGATTCTGCGAAGCACTGCTCTTGTTAGGGTCAGTGTTAGCAACTCTCTGGTTTGAGCCCCATGAGCTCACCTGCAAATGTTAGGGTGAAGCTGAAATAACCTATCAAGGCTATCAGCATAGGTAGGAAAAAAAAGGCTTTCCTAAATTAATTTCTTTACGTATTCAACAACTCTCAAACAATTACAACCACATATCTGATTTTGTTGTTTTTTAACGTTTTTAAACTCCCGCGCAATTGACCGCAGAATGTAACTAAATAATGATTATTAAACAGCGCAGTCGACTCCAGTGAACCGTAGGACTCGAACGTATTGTTACAAACCCGTGTAATTTGCTGTTGGCATTTAAAACAGATGACGTCAATTAAAATTTTATTCAAATAAAATTGGTATAAGGTACGTTTTAAGTTTTTACTTTTTTTTACTATGGTTACTATTAATATCTATTTTATGTTTCATGTTAATGTGACCTTTGTTTTTTTAAGCCGTAGTTTTAAGCGTATCGTGCTATTTATTATATTTGCATTAAACTTAAATCCTTATTGTCTGTACACATTGAAACTAGAAGAATGGATAATCGGTGGCAAAGCGATGGTGCAGCTCTATTGATTTTTATGAAATAAATATAAATATTTACTAACAATCACGCCACGTTAACTGGTCCCGTAGTAAGTTCGTAAAGAACTTGTGTTACAGGTACCAGATAACGGAAATAAATGTAATATTTTTATTATACACATTCATATATTTAATATACATCCATAACCCTGGAAAAGACATTTTTATATTTATCATACAAATATCCTCCCTTGGCGGGATTCGAACCCGCGACCCCATCGTGTAGTGACCATGTCACTTACCACTACACCAGACGGCCGTTAAATCGATATTCGATGCCATTAAAATCCGGATTTTATGCTTAATTTCTCAAAACTATTATTTCTAGTCCTTTTCCCAATGAAACTTAATAATAAACATTTCGTTCTAAAACAGCGTTTTGTTTAGATATTTGTTTTAATGGATAGACAAGCACATGGCGCACCTAGACGGAAGTGGTTACTGGAGCCCATAGACACCAACAACGTAAATGCCACCGCCCACGATGAAACCTGATTTTCAAGTCTCAGTTTTATAGTAAGCACACAGGCTGCTCCATCGTGTCGAAACACATTACTGCTTCATGGCACAAAAAGGCAGACTCTGCGGGTTTTATTATACCGTCATCGGAGAAATTATCCGTGAAAATTTATTTCGTACGTGTTTCAATAGAACAAAGATACCCACCCACTTACGGGATTCGAACACAGGCGTCACCCGATACAAAAGTATTGGACCTCTTATTCTTTAGGCCACATCGACAATTAAATTCCAAATCAAATATAATCTTCAGCAATAAATCCGCCAACATGATTTATTATTTGGTGCCGCCGACATTTTATTGACATGACCGCTCTGTCAATCTGTCACCTAGTACAGTGGTAGTAACTACACCTAGTATAGGGGTATAGGCTGAATCTTCACAAACATACTTTCTCATTTTAAAACTTAAATTTGTTTAGAGAAATCTACTAAACGTTAGATGGCAGCTCCTCTGTCGGTTTCCCATAAAGGATCCTTACAAAACTTGCAGAGTCCTCTCGGTTCGTAAATTATTTAATTTTAACTTTATCATAAGTAACCACACTCAAAAACTCCATACAATCCGGCAGTACGCGTAAAAGAAAGGCCCAATAATGGCGTTTGCCCTCCGATTCTTATTTCCACGTCTTTAGCTCAACAGTGCTTCGCTTCCTTAGTGTACTTAACGAAGACCCAATATAAATACGCAGTAACAAATTAGCTCATAAATCATAAATTTAGATTACGACTTAAAACTTTCTAACTAAGCACTACAAACTAATTAATCTAATTTACAAACCCAATATCCCAAAACTAACGACATGCGCTCACAAACACACACGCAGTAAACAAACTATCTTAAATAGACACACAAAGAAACAGCGCTTAAAAGATGACACTTCATAGAGTCTCAACACTTGTTTATATGACAATATTGGCCTTTCAAGCCATCACTGGTCATCAAGGAAGCCTGGAGATTTGTAATGACTTGCATTTGAACATAGTAAAGATTTCAGCTCTTTCAAAAATCTATTCTGAACTGACATAATATTGAAAAATATAATGATGCATCGTATTTTAATTTAGGCCTAGACTTCAAACAACAAATTTACTAGATCTATTTTCCATAATCTGCATTAAAAACCTTAAGCGATTAATTCGAATTCAATCAATCCGGTTGAAGAACCATCGCCTACTCTTGCTTATAATTATAAAATAGCAGCAGCCGGTTTACGTTAAAAATAAATACATAGCGGTTTTTCCTTGTCATTTTTTATCTCGTTTTTGCACTGCTGTGTTTTGTTGATTACATACTGCGATATTCTCGATGCGATTGTAATTACTTTAAGCACTTGTTGTTAAGTAAGCGCGGGGGGGACGCTCAAGATCAACACAGCCCGGCAGAGAGAGGGAAAGAGAGAGAGAGAGAGAGTATTCTTTATTGTACACCAAAAAATAAATAAACATAAAATACATTAAATACAAAAAGTACAATTGGCAGCTGAAATGTCTCAGTGCGAATTCGAACGGTACCACAGACAGAATGGCAAACCGGCTCCAGGAAATGTAGCTCGATGCCGAGGTATTGACAGGTCCGTCAAAATTTCGGAAAACAAGATGACGGGTAGTAGGCTAGTGGGAAGCTGCCGTAGCTTCGAAGCGTAAATGAATCCTACAGCAAGTGATCATGGGAGATCTGCGGAGACATACTCTTGAGCTTACACTTAGGAGTGAAGCCCTATGGCGGCAGTAACTCTTTTAGTCACCCCTGCTCCCGGAGGCTTGCCGATTGCCCCGGCAGATTGCGTGAGAGCTGGTACGTCACATACAACTGCAGGGGCAGAGACTATGGCAATTCTTCCAGTACTTCCAGTAGCCAAATGCCAGTCGACGGCTTACTGGACGGCAGTGTTCCACTGCTTTTGGTTATATGGACGCTTGGTTATGCGTTTGGTTATATTTTATACAAGCCGTGACTGTACTCCCTTTGATATGTCTCGGTCATAGTAACTAGAACATCCAGGCAAGTCACGGCGAACTGGGCGTTATCGGGCAGAATCGTGGTCTTTATTCACGTACAACAATTCAATGCACTTCGATCACAAGTAAATATTTTAATATCCTAATAAATAATTTATAATTAATCAGTTAACGAAGTCATAAATCGGTCAGTTTAATTTTGAGTATAATACATTACGACTTCAGACTATGAGTCTATTCGGCGCTTTACTTAAGCTATTTAAATAAAAAACTTCAGAGGTGTCAAGGCACACCCGGATGGAACGAAGTTCCTTTCGATTAATTAGTGAAGGAATTGTAATTGTAAGGAATTGTATGAACTAAATTACTATTGTTGAAACGCTATCTCGAGAAACTGTACTCATTACGCGGACCAATCGGATACGAGCAATGTCACGCGATAAGCGCCTACACGTTGATTGGTCAGAATGATGGATCTAAAAAGTGTCGTGACAACTTTTCGTAAGAATTTTTTCCGTCTAGCCCCCTTTCACAACGCGCGATAAGGAACTTCGTTCCAAAAAAAACTTCAGAGGTGTCAAGGGACACCCGGATGGAACGAAGTTCCTTTCGATTAATTAGTGAAGGAATTGTAATTTTTTTTTTAAGTTATAATAATAAATTACGGCATTATGAAGAAGAAAAAAACAATACTATGAACTAAATTACTATTGTTGAAACGCTATCTCGAGAAACTGTACTCATTACGCGGACCAATCGGATACGAGCAATGTCACGCGATAAGCGCCTACACGTTGATTGGTCAGAATGATGGATCTAAAAAGTGTCGTGACAACTTTTCGTAAGAATTTTTTCCGTCTAGCCCCCTTTCACAACGCGCGATAAGGAACTTCGTTCCAATAAACACGATTTACTAGCAAGTTGAACCAATAGTCAAAATAGTAATTTTATGATCATCCTGATAAACGAAATTTCGTACGCGTCATGTCAAAATGTTCATGTTAATAGGAAGTTGTGTGAAGTTCTTGAAAATGATATTGAAAGAAGTTGCATCGATATATACATATGTAGATATGAGAAAGTAATAAAGGCGTGTTAAATCTCAATTGACAGGCGGGACTTCTCGTTCCCTTCACATGAGTAATGCTTTTCGTTGACTTTACGCCTGTGTTTACTGGTTTGGTTTCCGCAACAATTCCTGGAAATACTAACTAGAACATGGAAGCATAAACCTACATGTAGCCTATTAAAAGTTGGCCCAAAATGTTTTGCATTTCATGCTTCCTGACTGAACGAACTTGAAGTTAACAAGAACATCATATTATTCAATGTTAATTTGCAACCGAACGGAAGTCTTTACGCGATAATGAACGTTTATGTGAAGGTTTTAAAAGAGCCGGTTATGCATTGCAAAAATGTAATGCAGGCCAGTCTGATTTCTATACTCTACCTTGTCTGTTTATATTGCAAACAACTAGGTATTTTGGTTTGACTTGTAGGATTCCCATTAGACTAATCTAATGGTGACTAATCTTGTGTGTCAAAATAGGTGGTCACTTCCGTTGCAAGTTTGTTCCTGTAGCCACTTTGTATAATTCCGTCCTCGTCGAACTTGTCGATCACGACGAAGAGTTCGACCAGCGAACTAATCAATAGACACAGCCCGTGTCGGGCATACCTAGTTGGGATCCAAGCTACCGGCGAATAGGTAGGCAGAGAAAAATATATAATGCGGAGCGTAAACGATTGTGCCTACGTTTTATGGAAAAATAAGTAGTATTTATGTTATAGATGGCAGCTTGAGATGTCAGGCATTAGATTAACCTGCAGAAGAACTGAAATTTTCACTGTCAGTGACGTGACAGGTTCTTGGTTTATATTTTAGAGAACGAAGAATTTTGATTACTTCTGATTTAAGATTATTTTCAACCATCAAAAAACTAACTTAATAACTTAAAATAAAAATTAACAAAGTTTCAAATCAAATCTCAAAATAAAATCAATTCGTTTCTTTTCTAATGCGTATGTTACTACTATTTTTGTCATATTACTCAATGTTCCCATCATATTTATTTTATTCATATTTCCTATTTATCTATCTACTATTAGTTCACGAAACACTTTCCAGCTGCCATAATCGGATTCCATCCTCTGAAGTCTGCGGCTCATGCCTCCAAGCCACAAATAGCCTCGTTGTTTGTAAGGCCCTTTTCAGGGGCGGTTGACAGTAGAATAAAACCGTCAGCAATAACGAAGCGCGTGGCGTCTTTGTCTTCTTTTTATTCTACTGTGCTGTGGCTTGCGCTCGACAATCTCGGAAAGTAGCTATGTTTGCCGATATCTGAATTGTTTTGGGGTTGGCCGGTACTGTCCCACATAATGATAATAATAATAAGCCTTTATACCTACTAAGCCTACTATCTTAATAAATTACTTAATAATAAATTAAATTGAAATGCAACTTATAATCATGTATTCCGCTCGGCGTTCAATGTGGTTTTCAAAACAGCTTGTCTCTCGACAAAGGCTTCCTCTAAAGATTGCCAATATTCTCTATTTTTGGCCATTCGACTCCAATGCGGGCTGGCTACACTCTTTATTTCATCTTCCCAAGGTTTTGGCTTCCTTTTTGGTCTTCCTTTTTTTTCTACAGCCATCCCTTGAGTACCAGTCTGTAATTATTTTAGTCCATTTTTCGTATTTCTCTCTTGTCCCACATACGTACACCCTAAATAATTAACACTTGTCGAAAACCGGTTTAATATAACAAGACCTGCATTTAAAAATTATACGTGCTCGCCAAATATGACGTGATACAATTGCCTTTTTTCCTACATTTCGCGTTAATAGTTATTTTTCAAATTTAAGCACAGAAACTGCCAAGTATTCTTATTTTTTTAATACGTGATAAATAACAAGGTTATTTGAATAATTTATTAGAATGTTTAAAACAATCCTTATATTTAGTCAAATTATTAAGATCAGATAAACTAATTCTCACTGGTTTAATTAACAATTAATGCTCATTTTAGGTACGTCAGAATTATTTTTAATCAGAATTACTTTAAACTCAATATGTTCTTTTTATTTTTATTTTTATTGCTTAGATGGATGGACGAGCTCACAGTCCACCTGGTGTTAAGTGGTTACTGGAGCCCATAGACATCTACAACGTAAATGCGCCACCCACCTTGAGATATAAGTTCTAAGGTCTCAGTATAGTTACAACGGCTACCCCACCCTTCAAACCGAAACGCATTACTGCTTTACGGCAGAAATAGGCAGAGCGGTGGTACCTACCCGTGCGGACTCACAAGAAGTCCTACCACCAGTACAAATCTACGTAAATGTTTCGGTTGCTTCTTATTATTTTACTACGCAATTAAATAATTAGCTAAATTACGGTTGTTTTGTTGATAATTCCCAGCATTAGTAGCACCTGGTATACCGGATTGTCGGAATTCATTATAAACACAAAAACATTGAGATTTCCGCATCATGAAACAAACTAAAAGACGCTGAATAGGTAAAACAGTGATATTAAAACCAAAACGTGATCGTTCAAAAAATATGTGTAAATTGCTTGTGGAACTAATGGATACTGACGCACCATATCGGTGACAACAGACCGGAAGCTACGTTGTGGAGGAACTTATTAATTGGTGAAGGCATTGGACGTATTTCCCTTAGTGATCAACATCATCATCATTCTCCTGCCCTCTCCCAAGTCATCTGGGGTCGGCGCAACATGTTTTCTCCTTCCATACTCTATCATATACCATTTCTTCAACTCACTTCCCTCTTACACATATGGAATTTCACGCAATCCATCCATTTCTTCTAAGGGTCTACCTCTTCGTCTATATCCTTCCACAGTTAGCACTTTCTTACCAACCTCATTTTCATTCACTCGTTAGTGATCAACATGAACCGAAAAACGTGTACCTATCCTGTTTTGTAGTTTGTATGACACTAACTAAATAAAAGTATAGTGTTTCTATGTATAGAAGCTAAAATTGATGGATACCCACAATTTTTAATTAAAATAGAATATCCAAAAAAAAACTATTGTTATTTTTGATGTTTATATTCCTAATGCCTATTTTATGATTAATAAATTAGATGTTGTCAGGGGTTTTATGTGTCATATGAATAGTTATTGAATGTTGAAATATTATCAATGACTAGCTGTACCCGTCCGCTTCGCTGGGCATTTAAAATTAAAATTATTATTTCTCACCCCACAAAGATTCTCATCATTAACGCCCCGCAACTGGTGTAGGGAGTTCAACGCTCATATAAATATTAGCTTATCCATTAAGTACATGTATTTTCTACATGGATACCAAGTTTCAAGTCAATCGAATGCATGATTCAGTAGTTATAACGGAACATCCGTAAAAACCACTGTAGATTTATATATTAGTATAGATTTATACCAACGATTCCACAAGAGCCACGTGCCTTTCATTATTCTGAAAGAACACAGTAGCTTACTTACTTGCATAGAAAATTTGGTATTGGCTATGGCTGAAATAGTAAGTAGTAGAATAATCTTACGAGATTCTTACCCCAGCATGCTTGCAGGGCTCGAGACAAAAGCATAGAGCGTCTTTCTTTTTTTTTTTTTTTTATTGCTTACATGGGTGGACGAGCTCACAGCCCACCTGATGTTAAGTGGTTACTGGATCCCATAGACATCCACAACGTAAATGCGCCACCCACCTTGAGATACAAGTTCTAAGGTCTCAAGTATAGTAACGTCGGCTGCCCAACCCTTCAAACCGAAACGCATTACTGCTTCACGGCAGAAATAGGCAGGGAGGGTGGTACCCACCCGCGCGGACTCACAAGAGGTCCTACCACCAGTAATTACGCAAATTATAATTTTGCGGGTTTCATTTTTATTACACGATGTTATTCCTTCACCGTGGAAGTCAATCGTGAACATTTGTTGAGTACGTATTTCATTTGAAAAATTGGTACCCGCCTGCGGGATTCGAACACCGGTGCATCGCTCAACACNCCACCAGTAATTACGCAAATTATAATTTTGCGGGTTTCATTTTTATTACACGATGTTATTCCTTCACCGTGGAAGTCAATCGTGAACATTTGTTGAGTACGTATTTCATTTGAAAAATTGGTACCCGCCTGCGGGATTCGAACACCGGTGCATCGCTCAACACGAATGCACCGGACGTCTTATCCGTTAGGCCACGACGACTACAAAGGAACTTACCATTTAAAAGGTGCTATCCAACTTTTGGATCTAATATCCAAGGCCACGAGTATGCGAGGAATGGCGACGTCTTTTGAAGCGCATCACCACCCAAAATAATTACCATAACCAATGAAATTTTTAATTTGCCAATAAACGAACTAATACAACGGCACCATTATGCTTTATTCATCAGAGCGCGCCAGAGAAATAATAAATTTAAATAAAATATATAAAACTAAAAAAAACATTAGATATTATTTGGACAGTCGTTAATTAACAAATTGTTTGATGATTACAGCTTTGATTATGGCACTAAATACGGACAGGCGTCAGATAAGTTTTCCTCAATTGAAATATCCACCGTTTCGTGACGACGAACTGAAATCTACTATCAGATGGATAAAAGGAAAACAAATTCTGGATGGAGCCGAGGGCTTGTGGAGAATCCATGACGGATTGTACGATCTCACGGAATTTATACCCAGCCATCCCGGAGGAGCTCAATGGATTCAATTTACTAAGGTAACTTAGGCATGTTTAAAAACTAATACACTTTTTCACTATGTTGACATTTCAAATTAAACCAATTTATTTTCCGACTGTAATAACGGCTATCATACCCTTTATTTTGTTTTTCATATTACATCTTGGTTTGAAGAATCTAATATATTATAGATAATGATTTGTTCGACTCATCGGGGGATCGGAGCATAGAATTTCGGCCATCTCTAAGTACTACTACCGTATTAATTTAACCTAGTAGCAATATCCATTTTTCAATTACCTACTGTCCCAATTATTTTCTATACTACACCAACCTCTTTCACTTTTCTTTGGGCATATTCTGTGTCTACTAGGGTAGACACGACTATATTAGGCCTCCTACCACTTTCGGAATTACCACGTTCGACGAGTGAACTAACCCATAGACACAGCCTACTGAGTTTCTCGGCGGATCATCTCAATGGGTCGCGATTCCAATCCTGTGGTAGATTCTGCGAAGCACTGCTCTTGTTAGGGCTAGTGTAAACTAATTCTCTCAGGTTGAGCCCGTGAGCTCACCTACCCGTTCATGCGTAGCTGAAATAGCCTCTTGGGCTACCAACGAATAGATAGGAGAAAAAAGTTATACCGAGGTTTAGGTGAAGCTTTCCTCGAGTAATCTCTATGAACGACAATAATTACTGATCAGCTTCTGAAGCTAACTATTGTGTTATATTACTGTACCTATTTAAATATAGGTTCTTGTTACCAGGGTACAGATATCACGGAGCAGTTCGAAACGCATCACCTTAAAGGAATCGCCGAATCACTATTACCGAAATACTTTGTTAGAAAAACGACAGCACACAGAAACCAACCCTTCACATTCCATGAAGACGGATTTTATAAGACATTAAAAGTTAAAATTATCGAAAAACTACAAGAAATTCCGCCTGACCTCAGAAAAAAGAGTGACTATGTAAGTGACTCTTTGCTGATTGCGTTTTTGATTGTAACTCCATTGTGCAGCTGGGCTTGGACACAAAATGCTATAATTGGAGCAGCTCTGACAATCCTAGATGCCTACATACTAACTAGTTTGACGATTTGCGCTCATAATTATTTCCATCGTGCAGACAATTGGCGGATGTATTTATTTAATATTTCAGGACTTTCCTATGCGTAAGTACTATTTAAATGGTAATTATAATTTTCTGTCAATATTGAATTTATTTTAAGTATTATTTAGATATTCATTAGCTATGTATTTAAATTGCAAAAGATTATATTTTGTTATTATTCTTTCTGTACTTCCTTTTACGTTATTTTTTTACCGTTGTGTTTATAATGGGTTTATGTACTTACAGTTCGAACATCTTAATAAATACCCACCATTTTTTTATTATAACTAGTCAGGTCATAAGTATTGACAGTAAAAACTTTTCTTTTAGAATGCTGGCCACAAAAAAGTTTCTTGAATTCGAATTTCGAATTGTTCATGAAAATAAAAATGTATACTTTTAGAATTTTACTCATTTTTAAATATGGAGCGGACGCTTAAAGAAGACCGTGTTGCAATTAATGCGTTGCATCGTTGCGGTTACGCGCCAATTCAAAATTTTAACATACTGAAAATTTTGAATATAACTAAAAGATTCGTTTATCGTACCATCAAACGATGAAGACTCTAGTATAGATGACAGGTCAAGAAGTGGTCGCCTTCGGTCTGTTAGGACTCCAGCAGTGATAAAAGCTGTGAAGGCGCGAATTCAAAGAAATCCCAAACGTAAGCAGAAACTGTTGGCCCTTCAGATGGGGTTAAGCAGAACCACGGTGAAAAGGGTGTTAAATGAAGACTTAGGGCTTCGGGCATATCGAAGAAAAACAGGACATCGTTTGAATGCTCGTCTAATGGACCTGAGACTGAAGAGATGCCGCGCTTTGTTGAAGCGGTACGCGGGAAAAAAATATCGGGAAATTCTTTTTTCGGATGAAAAATTTTTTACCGTAGAAGAGAGCTACAACAAACAAAATGATAAGGTGTACGCACACAGTAGTGAAGAAGCGAGCAACCGTATTCCGCGTGTCCAACGAGGTCATTTTCCATCCTCGCTCATGGTATGGTTGGGAGTTTCTTATTGGGGCTTAACAGAGGTACATTTTTGTGAGAAAGGTGTAAAAACGAATGCAGTTGTGTATCAAAATACAGTCCTGACGAACCTTGTGGAACCTGTTTCTCATACCATGTTCAATAACAGGCACTGGGTATTCCAACAAGATTCGGCGCCAGCTCATAGAGCGAAGAGCACACAAGACTGGCTGGCGGCGCGTGAAATCGACTTCATCCGGCACGAAGACTGGCCCTCCTCCAGTCCAGATTTGAATCCGTTAGATTACAAGATATGGCAACACTTGGAGGAAAAGGCGTGCTCAAAGCCTCATCCCAATTTGGAGTCACTCAAGACATCCTTGATTAAGGCAGCCGCCGATATTGACATGGACCTCGTTCGTGCTGCGATAGACGACTGGCCGCGCAAATTGAAGGCCTGTATTCAAAATCACGGAGGTCATTTTAAATAAACTTTAGTGTCATAAGAATCTATGTTTTTTTAAGTGCATTTTGGTATATGAATGGTTACATAATGAATAAACTTGTTTCAATTATTTTACATTAAACATGTGACAGAATTTATGACCTGACTAGGTATATAGCGTGTTCTTTTAATTTCTCATTCACAAACTATTAAAATATATCAGAGCTCTCAGAGACTTTTTTAATATTCTATTTAATCATGCCAAATGTATATTTTCGACCAACTATATCAATAAATTATTTTTCAGGGATTGGCGTATCTCTCATTCAATGTCACATCACATTTACACAAATACTGTTTACGACGTAGAGATTAGTATGGCGGAGCCCTTCCTTCAATATCTTCCTCGCCGAGACAAATCTATTTGGGCCCAAATGGCAGCGTTTTACTGGCCCATTATACATTCATTTTCTATCATAGGAATGGCAGTAAGCATGTGAGTTTTTTTTTCCTTACTTGTAAATATTGGGATAAAATGCACTTTCTAATGTCACATCTTTATCAAGTCCTATTATTTTTTTACATTCTATGCATAAAGTACCCGCAATATGTTGCTTTTGACTCTTCCTAAAGTTTATTCCGCATGGCTTACCTGAATTATTCTTAGATATGAAAACTGTGCAAACAACATGTAACTTAAGAAAATATGACAAAATCAATTAATTAAAATGAGGATACACTATTATCGAATGAAAACAGACATTAGGTACTGGCGGTAGCTCTAACAAGTTCTGCTCAATATCTGAAAAAAGATATTTTATTTAAACACTTGATGCTCTGGCATAGAAGTGTTAAGAAATCAATTCGCATATTTATAGATAAAAAAAAAGAAGAATAACATAATTTAATCTGAGATATATAAAAAATAATCTATAACAACATTTTTATGTTACAGGTATTTGTCAGCCTTGCAGAATCCAAAGGAATCGACATTGGAATGGTCGAATCTTTTAGTGTTATTTGGTCCTGTATGGATGTATTTTCTTGGTGGGCTCTCTTTGGCTTGGACCTTAGCGCTTTGGTTTGTAATGACGTTATTAACAAGCTTACAATTCGTTATGTTTGGACTAACTGCTGGACATCATTCGCATCTGAACTTCTTTGAGGGAGATACACCAAGGTCAGTAACCTCTACTAATACTTTATAAAGAGAAGTATGTGAAGTATTTTTTTTTGTTTCTGGCTTTATTCTTTATTTGTGATTTTGACTTATTAATTAGTTTTGAAAAGCTTAGCACAAAAATGAAAACATATTTAGCAAGCCTTTTTTTTTTTTTTAACGCTGGGGAATCCATTTACGTATACCCGGTCGAGGGGGATAATGGACCGGGTTATGTCGGACTCCGGCGCCTCCTGAGAGGAAGAAGGGGAGATATTTAGCAAGCCTAACTAATTTTTTTTTATTGCTTATATGGGTGGACGAGCTCACAGCCCACCTGTTGTTAAGTGGTTACTGGAGCCCATAGACATCTAAGACGTAAATGCGCCACCCACCTTTGGACATAAGTTCTAAGGTCTCAGTATAGTTACAACAGCTGCGCCACCCTTCAAACCGAAACGCATTACTGGTTCACGGCAGAAACATGGCAGGGCGATGGTACCTACCCGTGCGGACTCACGAGAGGTCCTACCACCAGTAATTACGCAAATTATACTTTTGCGGGTTTGATTTTTATTACATGGAGCCTCTGGGTCTGCGGAGGGACTTCGGTTCCCTCTGTATTTTGTACCGCATGTTCCATGGGGAGTGCTCTGAGGAATTGTTCGAGATGATACCAACGTCTCGTTTTTACCATCGCACCGCCCGCCACCGGAGTAGAGTTCATCCATACTACCTGGAGCCACTGCGGTCATCCACAGTGCGTTTCCAGAGATCTTTTTNCATCGCACCGCCCGCCACCGGAGTAGAGTTCATCCATACTACCTGGAGCCACTGCGGTCATCCACAGTGCGTTTCCAGAGATCTTTTTTGCCACGTACCATCCGGCTATGGAATGAGCTCCCCTCCACGGTGTTTCCCGAGCGCTATGACATGTCCTTCTTCAAACGAGGCTTGTGGAGAGTATTAAGCGGTAGGCAGCAGCTTGGTTCTGCCCTTGGTATTGCTGAAGTCCATGGGCGACGGTAACCACTCACCATCAGGTGGGCCGTATGCTCGACTGCCTACAAAGGCAATAAAAAAAAAAAAAAAAAATTATGTTATTCCTTCACCGTGGAAATCAATCGTGAATATTGATTAAGTACGTATTTCAATAGAAAAATTTGGTACCCACCTGCGGGATTCGAACACCGTTGCAACGCTAGATACGAATGCACCGGACGTCTTATCCTTTAGGCCACGACGACTTCAAATCGATTCAAATTGCATCGTATTCACTCAATTTACAGCAGTAACATAATAATATCTTTCACATTTCAGATCAGAATCAATCGATTGGGGCATACACCAATTAGACACGGTTGTTGAGAGAATCGATACTCCTCACGATCATTTCAAATCGCTAACCAGATTCGGGGATCACGCGTTGCACCATCTCTTCCCCACATTGGATCACGCGGAATTGAAGTACCTATATCCAATATTAATCCAGCACTGCGAGAAATTTGAAAGTAAACTTCGGGTCACGAACTTTTATAGTTCTTTGATAAGTCACTGTAAACAATTGATAAGAAAGAAACCGAATGATTTTCGGGGTTCTTACCTTAGGCTTAGCCGTGATATTAGTTTACGTAAATTAGGCTTCTAATTATTTCTTTGCAATTATAGTTTAATCTTGTGTTGTTGTTAAGTACTTAAATGGCGTTTTGGTGTAATTTTGTCTTTATATATTTCTTATTCGGGATGTATTTGTTATTTTAAGTTTTGGTCTTAGAGTGTAATTACTTGTTCTTATCTCGTATACTTATTTCCAATACACATAACACAGGTGACATTAAGCGGAGTTAAATATAGCAGTGTTATTAAACTTCATTTTTATAATAATAGCTGACACGTAGTTTCCCTCACGTTAATGTAGAAAAAACACCATTTGGATTAGTACTTTTAGTTGTTGATATGAGTCGACTAGTATCAAAGCCGGCAATGTGACTTTTGGACAATTATTGGTAAATCAGAAAAACGAATTATTGACTTTGTATTCCACTGGCAGTCACAAAACTCTTCTGAACGACATCTTAGATAAATAACAGGTTAAGTATTAACCTTTATTTAATGCAGGTTTTGAACCGTATTCTTTCAAGGAGACGATTATATTCAAATCAATCTGTATTGACATATCAATAAATTTTTTTTGTCCAAAAGCACAGATTGCCACCTTTGATAATAGGCGACTCATATTATGAAACAAAATTTCATAGTTACATGGTTGAATAATTAAAATTTTGAAACGTAACAAACAAACTCATTTTCACATTAAATGTTCATTACATTTGTAACATCAGTACGTGACACAAATGTTCGAGTCAAAGGTCAGTTTACTATCAATGTTAATTTGAATATTGGTTTTGATAAAAACCTCGTTTACTATGTAATTAGTCTGATAGTATGTTTTAGAAATAGAATAGTGTAATTTATAATGAGACTGACAGAGTATTAAGTGTACTAGGAAAACTACAGCTACTGTCCTGATTTTGTCTATAATTGTTACGGCCTTTTACCTTTTATTATATTCCACGGCCATGACACTTGATTAAAAAGTACTTTGAATATAGTGAGAATAATTAGACCAAATGAAATTAATAATGCGGCTACACATACCGTACTTCCAAAAAATAATAGTAACTTTAGTATACATAGTACAAATTACTGAAAGAAGTTAAAACGCCTTCTTTTTTGGGAAACCTCAAAATTACAACAAGTTACATACATATGCAACTAACCCCAGAGAAAAAGTACTTTATATTTCGAAGTTTTGCATGAGGTTTTTGACTACTATTAAAAACCTGTTGATTATTAAAATAGTCAAATATTTACAAAAATATCAAATCATATGAGATTAACCAATCCTTTGTCAGAATGACTTGGAATTGAAGCGCCCGTTATCATGAGTAAGACGATCGCTGTACTTTAATTATAGTTATTATACATGACAGGAAAAAAAAATGTGTGGCACTCGGGGACTGCCGCGATAAAGCTATTACATAGCATTTTTTATCAACTTCTGCAATTATAATTAGACAATAATAATTTAATATTAACACAATAATAAAATAAGACCACTCTATATTTATAAACATTAACAAAAGCAAAACATTAATGGTCTCCTTCACATGCATAAACTAGACCGCGCGAGAGAGATGGGCAGACTTTTCATGATGCGTATGCAGTGCGACGTCACGCCGCGGGCTTATTCACTAACAGCGAGCTACATGGTAGGCGGAGTGGGGGGTGTTGGGTTTTATTTTCGTTACGGAATTTCTTGATTCGGTCGCCGCGCTCAAAGCCCGCGATAAAAGCTATCCAATAGCTTAAATATGCAATATTTAGCAGAATATCTACAAAAGTAATAAACGTATTGATTGCGTTTCGCTATGAAGAATTACCTGTAATGATTAATTTGAAAAAGATATAAAAATACTGTGTTAGTGACTATGTAATACGAACTAGACTCGTGTGGCCAATAAGGACAGTAAAAAATTACCACGTATTTAAAAAAAAAAAATAGTTTAATGTAATTAAATTGTAATTATCCCAATAAGGCTTTATACGTGTGCTGTATAATATATATGGTTAAGTATTAAAAAAATAATTCTTTTTTTTCCTCCGACATTTTATTCATTTTATAAATTTATTAGACGTTTTTAGGACCACCTAAAACGATTACTACTATTGAGCATCATACGTTCGAAGCAGCCGTACCCTAAACTTATTTATCTAATTAACCCTCGCACTGAATTAGATTCCGAATTTACAAGCCAAACATACTCGGACGGCGGTCATTTTTCAAAATTACCGCGCAAACTTTACAAAACTCGGCTAAGCGCCGGTTCATTATGTGTGACGTCATTTGGGTAGAGAATAAAACCGAAATTAACCGTTATTTGGACCGTAGATTGAAAGTAATTCACATCAGATGACATTCGATGTGTTTCGCATTTATGTAACTTAGCGTACAGGACGCAAAAAAAGACTACAGTACAACGGCTGCCTCACCCTTTAAATCGAAACGTATTTATTACTGCTTCACTGCAGAAATTTGCTAGGTTATGGTACCTACCCGTGTGGACTCATAAGACAAAAGATTTGTTTTTTATTACTCGGTTTTATTCCTTCACCGTGGAAGTCAATCGTGAACATTTGTTAAGTACGTACTTGATTAGAAAATTTGGTACCTGCCTGCGGGATTCAAACACCGTTGCATCACTTGCTTTCCATCCTTTGCACATCCTTTGATACAAATGCACAGAGTGTCTCATCCTTTAGACCTCGACAACTTTAAATTTAAAAGATTTAAAAATCGGTACTATCGAAAACACGATGAACGGTTTTTTTACTGCCTGCATACATTTTAAATTGTTTTGTGATGACAGGCAGATACCAAGCTGTTTATTGCTATGTCTTTGCATTACAAGTGTCTTCAGAAGACTGAAAAAAATTGGTAGTATTTATGGAACGTTACGGTCATGTTTGAAAACCTCCGAATATATTATGACATGAGCATTTTGTCCTCGATACGGTTGAGCTACGTTTGATTTACATTCCTTGGCTTCAAGCTAATATTACCATTTTTGATATTATTTAACATAGTCGCTAAAAAAAATATAAAAAAACAAATTTCAAGAATTTGTAGTTTTTTCTTTTCCGAATTAAGTGTGTGGATTTAATTTATATTTAAAAGTCAAAATCCATCAATAACTAGCAACAAAGGGGAACCAAAAGGGTATCTTCGCTTTCTCGAAAACAATCTTGGATCAGACGAAAATTAGTAATACAGATTAAGACGAGAGATCCTTTGACCGATTAATTACGAACTGAAGTACACAAAATGAATTCAGTGCTTTAATAGAGGACTAAGACTCTGCATGTTGTCCTTTTTACTCTATCTGCATCAAATAGAAGTGCGAGTAGGACAGCAAACATGGGAGTTGTTGAATGAGAACGTGATTACATTTTTTTTTTCGTCATAGTTGATAAAAATCCAATCGATTTGATCATGATTATTGTTACAGTTAATTAAAATTATATTTTCTATTAGTGGAACGCGGCACGCTTCGCTGCAGCTAACGTGTTGAACAAAATATACACAGTTTCAATTTACCTAGTTTTTTTTTTATTAGCTTACAATTTATCTTCGGGTAGGTAATAATTTTTTTTTTTAATTGCATATATGGGTGGACGAGCTCACGGCCCACCTGGTGTTAAGTGGTATACTGGTACAGCGTAAATGCCACCACCCACCTTGAGATATGAGTTCTAAGGTCTCAGTATAGTTACAACGGCTGCCCCGCCCTTCAAACCGAAAAAAAATACTGCTTTACAGCAGAAATAGGCAGGGTTGGTGGTACCAACGCATGTGGACTCACAAGAGGTCCTGCCACCAGTAAACCTTACCTCATTAGTTGCAGATTTTAAATTTAAACACAGCCCAGAATGGAATGACAATGGGCGCTAAAAAAAGAAAGAAAGAAAAAAGACGATTAAAATTTTCAAATATCTTTTACTAATGTTATGATAAAAAATAATTTAATCAAATAAATTCATTTAATTTTGGCACTTACCATCGTCAACGGTCCGATCATAATTACGCCTAGTAATTTAATATTAGCAAGAAATATAGTGTACACGTTGCTAATGTATATGTATCAGCACTCTTATAAACTTTATACTTATATATCTCTTGATATATCTACTACTATCTTCATGTACGATGTAGAAGATATTAAGATTCAAAATTAATTAAATCGCATCGTTATCACAAATAAAGCGTATTTTATTCTGATTCATTCATAGTAATTTGAATTTAAATAAAATTTCTTAAATACTAACAAAACGCTTTAGCAAGCTAAACTAACACTAAGAGTTTTCTAGACACGTAAAGAATAGAAAAAAGTCATTTCAAGTCGTGTCAAAGATACATTTTGTCAAAATTAATAGAATGATGATCTGTATGTACCTACTAATTGCCCCGCAGTAGTCGAGATTCGACTATAATTAATTGAAATTATAAGTTTAAACATTATTATGGTTCTATTGCTAAACACTATTATATTTCTATAATATAATCACAGTATTCGCCAAAACTGAACTATAGATCAATAATATTAAAGACAAACAATATTAATCTATTTTCAATTCGACCACATACTTTTATTGTAAAGTTTCCCAATTGACAGTAAACAAAGAGTATATTTTTATGTATGTGTTGTGTCAAATACATTATTTATACATTATGCATTATTTAAAAAAAATATTAGCTTTGTGCACTCCTTCTCTATATTCTCTATAAGTGTGAGGAATTTCATACTCCTCCGTCCGCGCAATTTTCGTAAAAAGGGGTAGGTAAAAAGTTTTTGCTTCACGTATTAATATATAGATAACATTAACTAGGTGCCACGTTCGATTGGTCAAATTTCAGATAAAGTGTAACGGCATTTTCAAGGGGTTGTGGCCTAAAGTATGTACATATATGTCGTCCGGTGTACTCATATCGAGCGATGCCACTAAGTCAATTTTCATGTCCTGCGGGATTGCACGTACCAATTTCCTAATGAAATACATACCTAACACATATTCAGGAATGACTTACACGTTGAAAGAGTAACATCGTGGAATGAAATTCAAACCCGCACAAAATTCAAGCAGCATTCAAACGAGGTCTATGAACTCCAGTAACCGCTTTACGCCAGGTGGACAGTCCGCTCGTTCACCTATCGACGCTATAAAAAATCTGGCAACACCGTATGTTCACACCGTATATTACCCATGGTGTTTTATTCATGATTTTGTTAAAATTGGAAAGTTGTTTATTTTTTGACATACCTTTTTTTTCCCTACCTATGCTGATAGCGTTGAGAGGCTATTTCAGCTTCGCCCTAACGTGTACGTGAGCTCACGGTACTC